AGATGGATAAGGACGATGAGTTGTTTGTGTACGTCGACGGAGACGAGATATACGACGGCGAAGACGATGATGAAGAGGAAGATGGCGATGGTGGCATCGCTTCTGAGGTGGCCGAACTCTTCAAGCCGCACAGGATCTCGCACATTTACGTTGGCGGCGGCAGTGCGGCCGCGGGCACGAAGACCAGCCACCATGTGACGGTCTCCAGCGTCCTGCTGTACAACGAAGCGCTCACTGGTGAAGAGATCCGAAAGCTCGCAGAGAGCAAAGTGGCTCTTGGAGGACCAGCTGCCGGGAACGCAGGCGGCGAGCTGCAGGCGGCTCCTCCGGTGTCCACCTCTGAGGGTGGGGAGGCTGTTCCCGAAGTGAAGCCTGAGGACGCCCGCGGTGAGCAGCAAACGGAGGACGGCGGGGGCACGGAGGGTTTGCAGGAAAAAAAGGACGGTGCTGCTGGTGAGGCGCCGGTGCGTGAGGAACGTTCGCCGGCGGAGTTGGGGAGTGGCGCTGCAAATGCCTCTCCTCAGCAGCCGGTAAATGCACTGCCGCATGCAACCGGGACCCCGAAAGTTGAGGGCGAAGGGTCGCAAAAAGCGGAAGCGGGATCTGCTGGGGACCCGGCACCGCGGGAGGAAGACGCAGGAGTGCCGGACCCGGGAGCTGCGCCGCAGAGCAGCGGCGTGGAGGTCGCTTCAGAGCCCACTGGGGACTCCCTCCTCAGCTCCCCAGAGGAAAAACACCAACAAGAGGAAGAAAAGGATCTGCGACCTCAGTTATCGCCGGAAGCAGACAGAGAGGCAGGCGACGCGTCAACACCTTCTAACGTCACGCGCAACTCCGACGCAGAGGAAGCAGAAGAGGCGGAGGATGTAAAAGAAAAGAAGGAGCTGGAGGAGGAAGCGACAGAAGTCAGTGGCGGTGCATTGGCGTCCCCACCGACGGCAGCGCCGGCTGCGGCTGGTGCTCCTCGCCCAGGCGCAACTGAGCAGGCCGTCGGTGCGGAAACTTCCGAGCGGCAACGAGGGCCCTTGCCTCCCGCAGACGGTGCAGGCACGACGGTCCCGGCGGGTGACGGCCAGGCGCGGCAGGGCGCTCCGTCGCACGCGCCAGAGGCCGTTGGCGGCGTGCCGTCTGCTTCCGCCGCGCCCACCGACGAGACGCCAAACGCTGCCGCCAATGAAAATGGCGCAGGCCCCCAAACTGCGGCGGACGCGGACGGCGGCCACGAGGCACCCAGCAACGCCGCCACGACCCCCACGGCTCAGGCGCCTGGGCAGCCAGGCACCACGCCAACACGCGACGCTGCACCGCACGTAAGCAACAGCTCTACCACTTTCAAGAACATCACAGGGCCGTACCCGATGAACACAGAGAGCGACGGCGCTGTGCGTGGGTGCGTGACTTGGCTATTGCTGCTGACTCTTCTGGCGCTTTGTGGCGTCGCGGCAGGCTTCTGAGCGAAGGAGTGTGGAATTGTGATTCCGCATGGTGAGAGGTGTGCGCTGCGACCCATGCGGGCCTCTTCATTTAAGAGTTTTTTTTCGTTCTTTCTTTTTTTGTCGTCCCTGTGGGTCAATCTTCTCCCTCCTGTGCTCTGAGGGATGGTTTCTTTTTTTTTCTTGCTTCGCCACCCCATGCACGTTCCCAAGGGCGGCTCACCCTTTTCCCCCTTCCCTGTTTGTCTGCTGCCACCCACCACACACACACGCGGTGCCGGTCGCATTTCTGTGCGCCGCACGGAGTGCCCAAGTGAGGCACGAGGCCGCTGCCACCGTGAGGCGCAAACGTGAGGTCTGCGTGTGTGCGACCGGGGTAGTTGTTTCTTTTTTTCGTGGAGGTAATAAAATATACACACACACACTCACGGTCCTCTTGTGCTGCTGGACACGTGAGGTGAAGGAACTCCACCTGCCGAAGTGAGTTCGTTTTATTTTCTTTTCTTTATGGGTAGGGCGTTGCGGGGTTTTCATTTCTTTTCTTTTTTGTTTTAGTTTTTTTATTTGGGGCAACTCACCGCGGCTCAAGTTGAGTTTGTGCGCCGTGTCCGCTGCTGTCGATGCGTGCCTCCGCGTCTTGTTTTCCCTCGCCGCCGGCTGTGCCGCCGACACGCCCCCATTTACTCCTCCTCCTCCTTCCCGCTAGAGGCAACTTTAGTTTGCGGCGACGACGGCTCTTTTTTTTGTTGTCCGCTGCGGCAGAGCAGCGGCAGGCTGTGCGGCGGGCTTTGGACCCGCCCCGTTCCTCTCGCCGCGTGCCTTGTTGGGTGTGCGCCGTGCGGCCGGCTTCTCCTCCGCGTGTCTTTCGCCCTCGCAGGACGGGGGCGTCGCGCACTTCGCCTGCGCCGTGCCGCCTGCTGCGGCGTGTGTGCGCGGCTGTCTTTTGCGCCTCGCCCCCACACCTCTCTGCGTGTGCGTGTGAAGGGAGTGCGGCCGCGAGGGGTTCGTCCGCCGCCGCCACGGAGGCGCAGACATTCGCGCTGCGCCAAAAAAACAAAGGCCGCACGACGCCTGCGGGAGGCAGCGTCACTTCGCACGGCGTCCCGCATGATGCGTGCGCCCTGCGGCTGCGGCGGCTGCGGCGGTGCACGGGCGGGGCGCGTGGCTGCCGGAGGGCTCGGGGGAAGTGGCGGTCGCCGGCACGGCGCTCGTGCACGTGCTGCGTGGCGGCAGTGCGCCTGCGGGCGCTTCGGTGGGGGAGGGGGCGGCTGCCGTCGGTGACGTTTTTTCGGTGCGGCTGCGGGTGAGTGCCGCGTGGGGCTGCGTGGCGTCCGGCGAGAGTCCCGCGGGGGGAGGGGAGTTCGCGGGGTCGGGGAGCAAACGACGTGGGCGCTGCGAAGCGGGGCGCGGGAGGGGCGGGGTGGGGGCCGCCGGCACGTCCACTTCGTCCGTGTGTGTGTGTGTGTGGCGGGAGGGAAAAAAAGGGCCCCTTGAGCCCCCGCTGCGGTGTACTGTGCTGCTGTTGCTGCTTTTTCTTCCTTAACGGGACGGC